GCTCAAACATCCTCTATGGAGCCCTCCTAGACCACCCAACGCAGCTGGGAATGCCACCCTCATTCCTGACTGCAGTTACTAAATGCTTGAAACTAGCTTTTCACGGGGCACCTGGGTGACTCAGTTGGTTAGGTGTCTGTCTCTTGATTTCAGCTCAGATCATGATCTCTAGGTTGTGGGATCGGCCCCCTGTCAAGCTCTGTGCTCACCGTGGAGTCTGCTTGAGGATTCTAGCTCTCCCTTGCCCTATGCCCCTCCCTTCTCTCAAGTGCACCCATTCTCTCTCTAAAATAAATAAATCTTTTTTTAAATAAATAAATCTTAAAAAAGAACTAGCTTTACATTTATTTATTTTATTACCTTTTTCTTCCTTGATACCATAAAGCCTCAAAGGGTCAAGAACCTTGTCTTTCTTGAGCACTGCTTATCCCCAGGTCCTAGGTACACAATGAATCCTCTACAAATATCCATTTAACACAAGAACCAAAATAGAAGAAATTGCTAAACTACATTCTTTCTCATAGTTACTTTCTTTCATTAACTTCCAGCTAATGAAACCAAAAAAATTGCTGGCAATGATTATTTTGAAGTGTATTTGTGATTCCTCCTCAAAAAGACAAAAATTTTAAAAAAGAAACAAACTTCCAGTGGGGTTTCTGAGGAGCAAATGCTTTGCCTTACAACATAACCACTCAAAAATTTCCCATATGCTTCTAAATTGTATCTTTAAAAGCTTTATCTGGAACTGGACAATTTCAAAACCCATTGATCTTGCAATGAAGTATAAAACATACCACAGAATTCTTATAATTCTTCTAGAAACCTGTCTGCCAAATGACATATTGTTTCCTTTTGCTTAGTGTTCACCTTTGAACTTCCCTCTACAGTGTTTACAATTTTAAAATCCCAGCTTTAGCTCTAGTTCCCAGTTTAAAATTGTTTAATCATCCACATTCACTATTTTTATCACCAAACACACTGGAAAGAAGAAATAACTTGCTTCATCTACTAAATACTAAAGTTTCAAAACAAAAACAAACCAAACTATTCATGTCTTTGGATGTTATCTTCTTATGTGACTCTCCTTATGAGACTCAAAATGTTAAAAACATAAACATCACACACACTCCCTTCTCACAAAAAGGAGGAAAACCTAATGTGTCATAATAGGAATATGCATGATTTAAGGTCATTAATTTTGTATCACAAGAGATCATCTAGAAACAAACCTAATCTTAAAAACAGGAAGAAAACGTATTCTGCAAACATTTTGAAGCATTGCCCATACCTTCATTATCTGTAGTTTATTGTGTGGGTGATGACATCCACAAACGATGAAAAACTGCTATTTCTTACTACTTTCTTTCCCAAATTTCCATGTGGACGATCCCGTAACTTACCCTTTCAAACTGTAGAATCAAAGCTACCCTTAGCTTCTTTGGTGAACATTTTAGACAAAATTTGTGTTCATTTCTGAACAATTCTCTAATACTACTTTTTTGTATTTTTATAATACTTTCAACAAAAAAAAATGACCGTTAAAAAATAGATTATGCTCTGGTTAAAGTGTAAAATTTAAAAAAATGAATACATCGAAAGGAGGGTTTGGTCTAATGTCTTATTAATCATAACATATTTAATTATTTGATGTATTTAAGTGATTAAAAAGAATATAGTTCCTATAACGCAAGGGAAGGAAAGTCAATGGAGGTTTGGGGAGTCTAGGACTTTTATCAGATGACCTGAGCAAGAAAGCCAAAAACAGACCCAACGTTACTTCATAATCTAAACCATTTGCAGTGGCCATTACATTATTTCCAAGAAGTTAAACCTGCCATCCTTCACCTACCTCCTTCTAAAACAAGCAATCTTTAATAAGTAGTGTGAAATCTGAGGAGGTCACCGAACATTAAAATTGGCTTAATTTCTCCTGTTTTAGACTCCAAATGCTACCCAGGCAATTCAAAACATGTCACTAAGTTACAAAGAAGAGTTTTTTTGGTAACAAATCCCAAAAGAAACTAGTGAGCACCTCTTGAATATGCAGAGGTTATTCCACACAGTGCAGTGGAAAGATCCATGGGCTCCCGAGGCACACACACCCCAGCTTAAAAATCGCAGCTTTGCTACTTATTAGCTACGTGACTCAGCCAGTCACTTCATGTCACCCAAAGAAAGAAGATAACGACAGCTATCCTGTGTTGGAATAAAGAGGATGCACTGTCAACTACCCAGGACGAGGCCAGGCCCTGAGCCAGCCCATAGAGATAACTCGGATTACAGTCCAGAAAGCCCTTGTTCTAAGCCTTCTTATTCATGCCCTACCCTTGGTACTGTACGAAATAGAATGAATATATTTTTCTTGGATGAGTCATGGCTTTGCAGAGCTTCAGAGTCTTCATCCTGAATATCAATGCTCATTGCATCATACTGGGAGTCAGAAAAATGGCAAAAATCAGAATAAGTGAGAAGCTATTTTCTTAGAGTCCTGATGCAACTGGGTTTCTCAGCATTTGTTTCTCTCTTAAAAGTACTGAAAAAAAAAAAAGTCCAGCTTAGTTGGAGACCCCCCGAGGCCCAGAATGGTCAAACTTATTCTATCATGAAAAACTAAGAGTAAAGAGTACAGCTGATTAAGTAAGATTTTCAAGCAGTGTTTGTCTTAACACCTGAACACTATGGTTTCCAGAAAGAAAAATCTGCCCAAGGAAATAGTCCAAAAAAGGTAGAAATACAAAAGAGAGACTTTTAAGAGTGTTTATTCCTTAAAAAGATTGTTAGACAGTATCCGTGTGGTGAGAGCATTATTTTGGGGAGAGGGCAAGCAGTGGGATCACTAAATTAACCCCTCCAGCTCTACGGGAACACAAATGCACCTTGTCCACCAGCATTATCCACAGCACCACCTACTGCCACACTGTGCCTACAGCAGCTTTGGTACCGCAGGGCCCCAAGAATTAGCCATGACTTTGATTAGCCAAGTAAACTGTTTAGGGATGAAAGAGGTATCATTTGAAAGTTAAAAGTGGGTGGAGGAGGAAATTCAAAATAAAAGTAAACCTCTGACAATCTCTTAAAATATCCAGGCAGCAAACATAATCATTTGGTTACATGGCCAAGTAAGTGGTTTTCATTTTTCTTACGTTAGCTAATTGCGCTGCTCTAATGATTTTAAAGCACAAGAATTATAGGATCTGGTCGATGTATATACAACACGCCTGTTTCTGTTTCACCACCTGTGGACCCAGTGGGAGTCACCTAAATGTTGTGTCACCATGGTGGAATTTCAAGTAGGAATCGCAAGTATTATTGTCAACCTCAACAATGAGGATGGGTCATAGTGGGGTCCAGAGCCCACATTTCCCCTAATGTCTAGGCTTCTCCTTAGACATTTAGGCCCTTGAGGATAACTAAGTCTCTTTAGTATGAAATGTACTGGGTGGGATAGGACTGCTCAGGACTGTGTTCTCTTGTCCTTACAGATCTGCTATACATTGTGCATAAGAATATACTGAGCAGATTGTCAGTCATAAGCTAAACAACCACCCAACCTCAATTCTGATCTAAAAATAAGCCACAGACTTAAAATAGACCATGACTTGAAAAGAGCTGGGATCTGAAAAACAAAACAACTGTTTTCCAAACAGAAAAACACATGGACTGATAACAAAAATCGAAAATAAGACTAGGTGACACTTATGTAGCACTGTGTTCCAGGCACTGCTCAAAGCACTTTACAGATTATCAGGCTGACAGAGCAAGGCCACCTCCCCGCTCAATTAGTGACTTTACTGTTGGAAGGTCCGCAGCAGCACCATAAATACCATAGGATAAGTCGATGGGATGCTACGGACAAAGGAGTCTGGCTTATCGTGACCTCGCCCGTACGTTAAAATAATTATGCTTAATCAATAGCTCCTCCGGAAGACCGGGGGTGTGACGTCACAGGTCAGTGCAGGTATTTTCCGTGGAGTGACTCCACTGCAATTTGGGGAGACGATGCTGAACGTGGGTCTTCCACACCAACAGGGGAGAGGAGAAAAATGAAAGTCGTGCTATTTACGCTGCAAAAAGGCCTCTTCTGCTGTCACAGTCCCCTTCTCCAAAACAAACCAGCCGTGCAGCCTTGTCACAGATGTGGGCAGATTTTGCACAGGACACGGGGGTGAGGAAAAACCCAGAGTCCGCCTGCATCCTAGGCAGCGAAGAAAGCCTGTTCATTTTTGGGGCTCAGGAAATCTGAGTCACAACTCCAAGGGTCGAACAGCCGGGCCCCAGGTGTCTTGTTTCCACTTTCCCAAGTAACCGAAGCGCTCGGCGAAGTTGGCTCCGCGGCCGCCCCAGCAGCCCGCGCAGCGCGGGACCTGCCCCCGCCGCCGCCTCCACGCACCTCCCGCGCGGCGACGCCGAGGGCATGGGCCGGCCGGCAGGCACCGGCGGATGCCCCCGGGCGCCGGGCGAGCGCAGCGCGGGGGAGCCCCGCACAGTCCCGCTTACGTCCGACCCGCCCGCTTTCAAAGCAGGCGGAGACCACCGAGACCACCGAGGCCGCGGGGCGCCGCAGGGGGTAACCGCCGGCGAACTTTCGGAGCCTCCGATCTGCACCTCCCGCAGAATTCCCGGCCGCGATTAGGAGATGCTGGGACCCCCCGCCCCGCCCCGCCCGGCCCCGCACGCAGCCCCGCGGCCCGAGCCCCGGCGAGGAGGAGGAGGAGGAGGCGGAGGAGGAGGAGGAGGAGGAGGAGGGCGGAGCGCAGCCCGGGTCCCTCCGCGCTTCCCGAGCCTCGCCCCGCGCCGCGGCCCCTGCCCGGCCTCCGCGCCCAGCCCGCGCGCGCAGCCCGGCGCCCCCCCCCCCCCCGCGCCGCCGCCGGGGCCGTGCGGGCCAGTGCGGCTCCGGGCCGGGGCCGAGGCTCCGAGGCGGACCCCCCGCTCCGGCCGCGCGCCGCTCGGGCATTGTCCGCGGCCGCCCGCCCGCCCGCCCGCCCCCGGCGCAGCCTTACCTCGGCCGCGCTGCCCGGTCCCGGAGGTGCGGCCCCTGCCGGCGCCAGGCTCCCGGGGCCCGCGGGGAGGGGGCCGCCGCCAAGTCCTCGCGCCGCCCCGCGGGGCCACGGGGGGAGCCGAGCCGGCGGGCCGGGGGCGCGGGGGCGCGGGGGCGCGAGGCCGTGGAGGGCCGGCGGGCGGCGGCCGCGAGGGCTAGGTCCGCGCCGAGGGGAGGGCTCGGGCGGGCTTCGCGGAGCGCGAGGGAGGGAACTTGGAGCGAGTTGCCGCGGCCCAGAGCGCGTGTCCCCGCGGAGCGTGCACGCCCCCATCGGGCGCCCCGCCCCGGCCCCGGCCCCGCCCCCGCCGCCCGGCCCCGCCCCCGGCCCCGCCCACCCCAAGCCCCTCCCGCGCGCCCGCCCCCGCTCCCACCTTCCAACCCCTTCCAGACTCGGCGGCCGCCCCCGCCCGGTGCAAGCATCCCCAGGACCTCGACCGCCCGCCCGGAAGCCCCAGACCCGACCCCTGCGGGCGGGGCACCTGGAGTCCGTGTTGTGGCTGCGATAACCGCACCTGGCAGTCCCCCCACCCAGATGATCGTGGCGCCTGACGTTTCCTACGGACTCGCTTCTGCACACCCAGTGCACCCTGCTTAGCATTTCTACACCTCATTTCTGAAGGCATTTTTAAGACTCCAAAGCGGTGTGGAGAAAACAGAAAAGAATATAGAAAAATACCTCAAGCACGGTGTGCGGCCCCTACGGTATGGGCCGGCTGATGTTTCCGAATTAACTAAATGTTTTGGGGGTACATCATCATTCATGTCGTGATGTGTGGTTTCGTCATGCTTTTTCTTTAGATTTGCTTAATCACCCGGTCGGTTTTTCCAGGGATTTGTTGTTTTAGGAATGCGGAGCACATTCCACTTTAGTTTTTCACCATTGGGAACTCTAGTGGATGAAATCCATATTTATCAAAACGAATGAATGAGACACAAACTCACAACATAATTACTTCTCCGAAATATTTAGCAGAGATTTCTTTATACCTTTTGTACATTTGAAATAAGATTGCATTCATCCCATTTTCTCGGATCATCTGTATTTGAATGGTGTGCCTTGTTTCATTCCAGTTCAGAGATTGTCAAATAAATAAAACTCAGACTTCCACAGTAAATTTCTGGCTATTTACAAGAGAACCATTTTAAGAAAGTGACAGGGTTCTGAATGGAACTTTCCTTTGCATTCCATGTGATGGAATGCATTCCATGTGATGATCACCCATTATGTTGTGGTCTTCACTAAATCCAAAAGTCGTGTGATGGTAGAATGAAGTTATTTTTCACCGTTCGCATAGCAAATTGGAACTAAGTTCTCTCACCCCAAAGTAAGCTATTAAAAAAATTAACTTCTTTGTCCCAACCCCTTACTTTTGGGAATTACTTGGTCACAGCATGTAGGCACACTTTCCCTGCCACTACAGGACATGTGACCCAGGCCTGCCAGTCAGAGTGCCTCTCAGCCCCTGCATAGGCAGGGAGGAGGGGAGACGTACATGACCCGACTTGGGTGAATAGGGGTCCTTTTCGCCAGCTGATGTTGCAGTTTCTGAGAGGGTGTCATGAAAGCCTGTAGCAGTTGGAGGTAGCCCATAAGGAAGTAAGAGCCGGGCACCTGGGTGGCTCAGTGGTTGAGCATCTGCCTTTAGCTCAGGTAGTGATCCCAGGATTCTGGGATGGAGTCCTACATGGGCTGGCTCCCCAGAAGGAGAAGCAGGCTCCCTCTGGAGCCTCTCTCTCTCTCTGTGCCTCTCATGAATAAATAAATTAATTAAAAAAAAAAAAGATAAAGGGCAAACCAGATGAAAGCCAACTGAGCACTAGACAGGAAGAGTCCCAATGGCATTAATAAGCCCTTCCAGGAAGCCATCTCTGAAACCAGTCAAAACCCCTGGATTTCTAAAGAAATGCACCAATAAATTGTCTTTTTAGCTTATTGGAAGTTAGATTTCTTTCCAAAATACTCACTTAAAAGCCATGAAAGATTCTTACAGGATCCAGGCTCTGAAAATCAGGGATATAATCAATGAGTCCTAGTTTTTCTGTCACCTAAATGGTTTCTTCATAATAAAATATGTGCCAAGAAGGTCACTTAGTACGAAGCCTTAACTACTGTTTTGTTTTGTTTTGTTTTTATATATATATATATATTTTATTGGGCAGCCCCGGTGGCACAGCGGTGTCTCTCTCTCTCTCTCTCTCTCTTTGTGTCTCTCATGAAAAAAAGGATTTTATTTATTTTTTCATGAGAGACACAGAGAAAAAGACAGAGACATAGTCAGAGGGAGAAGCAGGATCCCTACAGGAAGCCCAATGCAAGACTTGATTCCAGGACCCCAGGATCACTACCTGAGCCAAAGACAGATGCTCAACCACTGAGCCAACCATGTGCCCTGGAAACCTTAATTATTAATAGGTCTAAGGTTCTCATTCAAGGTGTTACTATTGCCCAGTATACGTTTAAAACTTTCACGTTGCCCCCCACCATTAGAACCAAAAATTAATAAAAGATGTGGTTAGAAAACCAGAGAGAAAACAATAATATGTCTAAACCATTACATTTCAGTAAATTTTTTGTCTTGTCCATTACTCCAATGAAACGTGCCTTCATAATCCCCAATATTTAGTGATATAGGACATTTTCCTCTTTTCTGGACTGAAAATTTTAGGGCCTGAAACAGACTTTCAGGGACTGTTGAAATCGGTTTGTTGTGCTGGAATTTTATTGTGTTGCATATTGTTCAGGAGAAGTGGGCCATTGGCCTATGCTTGGAATTCTTTTGTTCCACAGAAAGTCTCCACAAGTATGTAACAATATTTGGCTAGTACCCTAACAAGCATCCGTACACTAATCAGTATGTTGCGTTACTCCCAGGTCACTGTGAGCAGTAAGAGTTCGGGTAGCAAGGGAGTGGGTCAGACAGACATGAAGACATTGCCCTGAGCTTCTGATTGCAGGAGTGTTTTCTAAAGGAAAAAGAGGGGCGCCTGGGTGGCTCAGTTGGTTAAGCAGCACAGGTCCGGATCTGTCAGAGGCCTGGGATCTGGCTTCTTGCTCAGCAGGGGAGTCTATTTGAGGATAGACTTCCCCCCCGCCCCCGCACTCTGAGCTCTCTCTCTCTCTCTCTCTCTCTCTCTCTCTCTCTAAACAAGTACATCTTTAAAAACAAATAAAGGGAAAAGTTTTTTCACTAGTTTTTCTTCAGATGGGGGTACCACAACTAGTGAAATTTCATTCGTGAAAGCCCGTGAGCTGAATAGTAGTAGATCATAAATAGACTAGAGCCCCTCTAAAAGCACAAGTAGTTGAACCATCTCCAAAAACCTGACAGCGTAGCTTAGAAGAAAAAGAAAAGTTAGTTCTGGAATCCAGGCCCAGCTCTGAGTGACACTTGTTTAAAATGATTGGCTCTGATCCTCCAAGGGAAATTTTCAGCCCAATGTTCAGGGTTGCTCCACATCCTTGTGCTGGATCCACGTAATGTCTGTGCCATGTCCTTGCCCTCGAGTGGTCCAAAAATCTCTCATTTAACCTGGGCTTTCATCTGTCCACAGCCCTCTCCTGGAAAAACGGATACACCAATAATATTCAAACCATGAAACAATCTCCTGGAGTGCTCCTAACAGCACCAGGTTAGGGGGGAGGGATGGTCATGTATCTAGTTTTTAGAAGTTCTCCCAAGAGTTTGACATCAGCCGGGGTTAAGGTAAATGTCTCTGAATTTGTGCTTTGCATTCCACAGAAAAAAACTTGAGAGGCCATCTGATCAGACTCCATTGACTTAGAACTGTTTGTAAAACTAAAGGTATTGATTGAACAAACTCCATTTGTCTTTTTTTCCTGAACAGCCCCTAGCTCTTCCGAGGTTATAGAAAAAGCAGTGAGGAATGTTTCTCTGGAGGAGCAGGGTGGGTTTGCCAGAAGCAATCACACTGTAAAAGGACAGCTCACAGCAAGGCAGAGATAAGAGAATCACTAACTAGAAAAGCATTGTCAGTTATCACCGGAACAGACTACTCCACCAGAGGCAACAGCCCCTAGCGTTATCTCTTACTGCATATTTCACAGTTTGTTACATGTTCATACTGATGATCAGAGAAATCAAAACAATTGAATTATGTTCACGAATATTGACCTGCATCATTTAAGATTACTAACAGCTATCATTTATTGAATATTTGGTCTGTGCTAGGCAATTTACATGCCTCATTTTTAATTGTAGCACTGGCTCTAAACGTAAATATTATAACCCTCATTTCATTCAGGCCCAGGGAAAGTCGGTGGTGTATCCAAGGTCACTGAGTTAGTAATCAAAGGATTCAAAGGCTGGTCCATGTGACCTCAAAGCCTATATATTTTTATTCTAAACCAAACTTGCCTCTGAGTCATACAAATCATCTATTTAATAAATACTGCCTGGCCACATGTGACTATTTAAATTTAAATTAATTAAAATTGAATTAGATGAGGGGCACCTGAGTGGCTCAGCGGTTGAGCATCTGCCTTTGGCTCAAGTTGTGATCCTAGGGTTCGAGGATCAAGTCCCGCATCGGGCACCCTACAGGGAGCCTGCTTCTCCCTCTGCCTATGTCTCTGCCTCTCTCTGTGTGTCTCTCATGAATGAATAAATAAAATCTTTTCTAAAAAGTTGAATTGGATGAAGACTTCAGTTTCTCAGTCACACGAGGCACTTTTCAAGTGTCCAATAGCCATGTATAGCCGATGGCTACCCCATTAGCACAGATAAAAAATATTTCCATCATTATTGCAGAAAGTTCTATTTGCTCTGATGCTTCACATATTTGTATCACTAATGAAGAAAGGCACTGTTCTCTGTGATTGAATTTTTCAAGTAAATTGCTCCAACTGTTTTGATGGATTTCTTTCTAAAATATGTAATACATTTATGTTCCTGTGTCTTAATCCTTTTGAACTGCTATAACAAAAATACCATGGATTGTGTGGCTCATAAATAGTAGAAGTTCATTTCTCATAGTTTGCAGGTTGTGAAGTCAGAGATCAACATACTAAAGATTCAGTGTTTGGCGAGAGCTTACTTGTTCACCGATGGACATCTCACTCTGTCCTTAAGT